AGGGGGCGAGGGCGGCGCCCAGGCGCCCGCCGTCCGGGAGGCAGGATGAGCATCGAAATCCCAGCGGGACTGACGGAGCTGTTGCAGGGCTTCACGGTGGAGGTGCTGAGGCACCAGCCCGCGGACCTGCTGGAGTTCGCGCTGCAGCACTTCACGCGCCTGCAGCAGGAGAACGAGCGCAAAGGCGCCGCGCGCTCGGGCCATGAGGGCAGGACCTGGGGGGACGCGGACGCAGCTGCCGGGGGTGGCACCCCCAGCAAAGGGGTCAACTTCGCCGAGGAGCCCATGCACACCGACTCCGAGAACGGGGAGCAGGAGGAGGAGGAGGAGGCCGCGGACACCGGGGCGTTCAATGGTGAGGACCGAACGCCTGCGCGCCCCCGCTTCCCACCGCCGTTCTTTCCTTTGCTCTGTAATCCCGCAGCTTTGCTCACGCACCTCTCCCCGCATTCTCCACCTTCCCTACCGTTTCATCTCGCCCACCCCCTCAGCATCCATTTCTGTCTCTCCCATTCGCCCACCTTCCTACTCTGCTCTCTTGTTATGCCCTCCCCCTCGTCCCCTCTGGAGGTGGGGAGCTAAAAGGTTAGGGTTCTCTGCCCCTGTTGGTCCTGGGCTGGGAGGTATTGGACGGCCAGCTTGGGGTTGGCATCCTCAAGACAACTTTGAAGATATTGCGCTGGACGGATACCATTGCGCATAAAGGAAACTGGCCCACTTAGCGTCCTCTTTCAGCCCTTACATATTTAAGCAAAAAGGCAAGGGGGGGTGTCAATTAAATTGGCTTTGTTGTTAAGAGGGTAAATTCTCTAAAATGAGCATGAAATTGAACTCACTGGGGCAGAACAAAATTTATGGTAATAGCTTTGACATTCGTGGAAACAATGTAATCTGTTATTTTCCAATTTACCAATACCGCGTTGTTTTATTTTTGGACACACAACAAAGGATCCTTTTTAGCCTGCAACACATGGGGTCTTTGGAATGAGGAAACGGGCTAATAGTTTGCTTTTTATTTAAAACAAATATTGAATGATTTGGTTCCTTTTTTTTTAAGTGTGTGAAAAACACTGTAGGAAGTTCTGAAAGCTTGTTGTCTTTAGAATGAAAAGCCAATGAGTAATTGTAAGGACTGTGCCAGACACTGAAACTAGAAAGAATGAATGGGAGAAAGAAAAGGAATTTTCTCAAATAGCTGCTCTTGGCAAGTCCCACCCCTTCTGCTTACAACCCTCTTTTCCTAACACACACAGCCACACTCACATTTACAGCCTCCTGCATTTACACAAAAGCCTAAGTCCTATCTTTATGGTATCCCATGCTGAAACATGGTATGCAGTCTGCAAGTGTTTCTTTGTGATGTAAGGCAAACATGCATTCAGCATTGCACCAGCTTTTATTTATTTACACTGCTTGTGGTTTGTGTGTCTGCAACACTTCATATAATGAAAACATTTTAAAGTGTCATTTTCTTGTGTATGTTCCTAGGAAGGTGTTTATTTTCTTTGCAAAATTGTTGAAATGTGTTATAAAATTAACATATTTTTAGCTTGTTCAAAAC